CTACACATCTTCTTTTGCAAGCACTCTTTAGATTCATGACAAAGGCAAATCATTATATTTCTCAGGGACTAGTGGCGATATATTTTACCTGTCTGCCTGGTCTCCTAAGGATCCTATGAATATGGCAAAAGCATTAACTTGAGGGTCAACGGTCAAGGTCTGGGCAAATCTTGCTGGTGGGATACCATATCGCTCAAGGTTTGCATCACTTAAGACTATGACAAAGTATTCATCAGCCTCTTCTTTGGCAATTTCACGAACCGCATGCTCCGTCCCTTCCAGAGTATGGTCTCCACTCATACAGAATTGAGCATGGGCATGCATGATCTGGGAACATAACACAATCAAAAGGAAATGTATGGAGAGAACATTCCAAATAAAATACACATTTTAATTGATATGAAAGGGAGCAAACATTCTTTTAAGACATGTTAAGTGACACACATTTAGAAACATGCATCCAGCTCCAGACTTAGAGAATACACAGCATTTTAAGGGTCAGAACTGGAAAAATCCCATGAAGGGAATTTGGCTTTCAGAACTCAAGAGTGAGAAAGTAAAACACTATGGCAGGCTGGAATGGTCTCTACGCTGCTATAGATGTGAGAGAGAAAAATGGGCTTCCTAATAATCTGGCCAAACCTTTTCTGTTTGTAATGTGTATTAGACTAATGACTTCAGTATGAAGAGTTATTACCAAATATTAGACTCTCGGTCAGATTAAATGATTTTATGGCCCTTTGTACTGTGGAAATTAGGGCCTCCACCTTTGTTAAAGTGCTTGCATCCCATACATACCACCAGCCCACACCCTACATTTATCCTGACAGCCCCCCCCCATCCCAATACCCTAACATACATCCCACTCTGCAGGTCCCAATCTTCTGCACTCATCCTGTAGCCCACCAAAAACTCTCCTCACCACTGAACCCCAACTCAGTGCTCCCAATCCAAAGGCCAGGGAAGCCTCTTAATTCTAGTCACCCAGCTCTGCTTCCTCCCTTTCCCTGGCCCACACTCATACAGCCCTGAATTGCTCAGGCCTGGCCCACCACAACAAGGGGGTGTCCATCCTAAATCTGAGTGAGTGACATCGTAATTTGGTGCACAGGTTGGATGCCACACTCAGTTTTAGTTTTGTTTGACAGTCAAGGGTCTCTTTCAATGAGGCCTGTACAAGTGCCCCAAATAAACATTGGTTAAGCCAGGCCTGCTCATAACGACAATATAGACTTTACAAATTTTTAAATGTAGGTTTTATAGAACAAGAGAAAAATGCATTATTCTGACTTGAGAATGGGGAAGACAAAGCCATTTCCTCCGAAAAAGTTAAGGAGTTTGGTCAGTGGAATGCCTATTTCTCCTAATCTAATAAAAACAGCCTATTTTTGAAACAAACAAACAAACAAACAAAAAAAAACCCAAAGCATTTCTTAAGAGACACTCTGATACAAAAAACAAATTTCCCCTGTAACTGACAGCTTAAATCTATAGTTTCACAGCACCATTCTGCTGATAAGTTAAATTCTACATTATATTCAAATTTTTTGCTGCTCTGATGCAGAAAAGGCTTCTTAACTACATTTAGTTTTGTAGTTATGGTTTAACACCTTTTCAATCTAAGTGTTTACATACTTTTACTACAGCGACAGTACTTTATGCCTTCTGAGCACTGTACAAGCAACAGGTATTCAGGATCATCCTGTAGTTCCCTTATCAGTGGTTATATGTTAACAGTAATCGTTTTTTTATTTATGGAGAGCTTTCTATATAACTGTACAAACTGATCAATGCATATGGAACTTCCTATAATCATTAATGGACTGTTTAGGACAGTTCAAGAAAGATGTATCCTTATTCCATTATTATGACACAAATGTTTAAAAAGTCTAAAAGTCTTTTCCCCAGCTTTGTGTTTACATACACTGCTCCTGTATCCCTCCGTCTCCGCCCTTCCAGCAACTTCCCCCTCATCATTTTTTTTATTCTGTATCCTGTAGGAGCTTATCTTCAGCATTGCATAATCCTTGATTATCCAGAGCTATTTATCAAAAGGATTTACCTTAAGAATCTCTAATCTTTGCTTATTGTTCTTGGGAACTTTGTCACTCCGAACCAATGCAATGTTGAAGCCATCTCCTGAATGTCCAACGATATCGTACTGCAGGGAACAGAATTAAAAAGCAATCTGTTAAGAGTATGGAGTGACTGTTGGCTTAGAATGACATGAGGCAATGATTAAAGGCAATTTGCTTTTAACTCTAAAATAAATACCGGTTGCTGTTTACATTTGTGTTCCGTTTAAGTGAACAGCCTACAATTTCTCACTACCACTAAAAGACCTTTGCAAGATAAAATTGCCCAAACTAATGGAAATAAGCAGCAATAACATTCTATATTTCTAGTATCTGATTCTTACCGCATTCTACCAGTTTTACAGTGGTGTTAAGTGAAATTAGAATCTTAGCCTTTCACCCTGACTTACAACTTACTCTCTTCTCCCAGCAACTTGGCACACAAGAAGTGGATTGTTAAGTGTAGCTCTGAAGTTTGACAAGCTGTTTATGTGACCTTGTTTTGATCTGATTTGATCTGATTTGTTTTTTATTACAAGCCATTAAAAAAAATCTAAAATTACTTTTTAGATTTGCACAAGAGATTAAACCTATGGCTCAAAATACACAGAAGAGTGAGTGCTAAGAGCCCTATTATGTTTTTGCTTTTTAATAATAATACTACTAGGATTGCATCCAGTATACTTTGGACTTAACAGAGGAACAGTAAAGGTCACACAGTGAAAGCACAGAGTCCAGTATTCAACACTATATCACTTTAAAAATTATATACATGGTCTTTAAAACTAGATGGGTTATTTTCATAAAGCTATTTCTTTGGATTTGGACCTTCTACTTTCTTCTCCAAGTAGCTGTTCTGACACTGATGTTAGCATACTGACTTTAAAGGGGTAGTCCATATTTTGGAGCCTGGGAATCCAGCCCTGCTGTTGGGCACAAGACAATAATCATTGGGCTTTTCCCTTTGAAGCTACTGGGTTCAAACAGAATTTAGATGATTTGTAAAAATTGGCTTTGCATAAATCCTAGTCCATACATCACCAAACCATGCCATAATCTGGTATACTTCTCATTCCTGTATGAAAGAGGTCCATGACTAATGTAGATGGGAAACCGCAGGTCTAGGCTAAAAGGTATCTGTAAAACTTGGAAAGTTGTGAACCTGGCTGCAGTAGAACTGACTTAATTAGTGCTATTAATATCACACTTTAAGAATTGTTAGCATAAAAAGGCTTAAGAAAGCATCTTCCTTAATTATAACTATTATCCAAAGAAGTCAGATGCAGAACATCTTGATCTTTTAATATCTAGTGGCAGCAGTAGAACCCAAAATGCTTTGTCTCATGATTTTCATTGGGAGAAAAAATTAGGTAAGAGTTAAGGATTCTTGCTTGGTATGATACCTTAGATCATAAGATATTTGAAAGATCTTTTTTTAATACAGTGATAATTAACCTCACACATTAGGCTCAAAGGCAAGGCTGAATACACAATGGAGATTAAAGAGGCAATAGAAATAAAAACATCAGCAATATTGAGGGATTTCAATTATCCTCATATTGACTGGGTACATGTCAACTTTGAATGGAATGCAGAGATAAAATTTCCTGACATCATAAATGACTGCTCCTTCAAGCAGATAAACCTGGAACCCACAAAAGGAGAGACAATTTTTTCATTTAATGTTAAATGAAGAACAAGATCTGGTTCAAGAGGTGAATATAGCTGAGCTGCCTGGTAATAGTGACTATAACATAACAACATTGGGGGGGAGGTAGGGGTGGAGAAATACTAAAGCAGCTCATGAGGGGAACACTTCAGAAAGGGGAGCTACACAAAAATGAGGAAGTTAGTTAAAAAATTAAAGGCTACAGTGTCAAAAATGAAATCCAGCAAACTGAATGGAAACTTTTTAAAGGAGGCTCAATTTAAATATATATCGCAAGTTAAAACACATAGTAGAAGGACCAAAAAGGTGCCACCATAGCCAAAAAACAAAGTACAAGAAAAGATGCAAAAAAGTGGAAGTTAAACCTTAGTGAGGAAAATAGAAAGTAGCATAAATTCTGGCAGGTAAAGTATACAAATATAATTAGGAAGGCCAAAAAAGAATTTGAAGAACAGCTAGGCAAAGACTCAAAAAGTAACAGAAAAAAATATTAAAGACATCAGAAGCAGGAAACCTGCTAAACAACCAGTGAGGCCACAGGACAATTGAGATGTTAAAGGAGCATTCAAGAGAGATAAAGCTATTGTGGAGAAACTAAGTGAATTCTCTGCATCAGACTTCATGGCTGAGGATGTAAGGGAAATTCCCAAATCTTCGGATCCATCCTAGATTGAAGTGTCATTAGAGGAGGTTTTGGAACAAACTGATAAATAAAACACTATTAAGCCACTAGGAGCAGAACAAATTCATTCAAGAGTTCTGAAAGAATTCAAATGTTAAATTGCAGAACCACTAACTGTGGTATGTAAACTATCAAGTAAATCAGTTTCTGTACCAGATAACTGTAGGATAGCTAATGTGACACTTGCTTTTAAAAAAAACCTCACCAGGTGATCCCTACAATTACAGGCCAGTAAGCCTAACATCAATACCACACAAACTGGTTGACATAAAGAACAGAATTATCGGACACGCAGATGAAAACGATTTATTGGTGAAGAGTCAACAAATTTTTTTTAAAGGGAAATCATGCCTCACAAATCTACTAGAATTTTTTTAGGAGATCAACATGCATGTGGACAAGGGTGATCCGGTGGATACAGTGTACTTGTATTTTCAGAGAGCAACACTGCTCATTTGTGTCAACTCTGCACATCAGTGCAATGTGATGCCACGTCCTCACTCTCCTAATTGCCAACTTTGGAGAGAACAGCAGGAGTAATTGCACTTGTCTTCAATAGCCCTCATACACCAATTGTGTCTAGTCTTTAAGCAGCAGAGTGAAATGGAGGAAGACTCTCACTTGCTGCCTGATAAGAGCAGCACCAGTGACCTATGGGTATGTCTACACTACAGCACTAATTTGAACTAACGTAATTCGAATTACTGCATCTAGACCTAAAAACTAGTTCGAATTAGCGTTTTGCTAATTCGAACTAGCAGGTCCACACTGAGTGGACCCTGAACCGAGGTTAAGGATGGCCGGAAGCAGTACCGGCAGGGCATCAGGTTAGGACTTAGAGCATGGAGCTGCTGCCTCAGGCTAGCCGAGGGCAGTGCTTAAAGGGACCCGACCCCCACCCCGGACAGACAGTTCTCAGGGGTTCCCCGCTCGCTTGTCTAACTCGATGAGGGACAGCAAAGCAGTCCTGGCTTGCAGTGCCCTGAATGCCCACACTCGGCACATCACAGCACTCGGCCATCAGCCCGGTGGCACTTGCTGCAGGCTGCCATCCGGGGGGTTCATCGGGGGGGGCTGTCAGGATCCAGGAGGCCCTGAGGGAAAGCATCCATCCCGAGGAGCCCTGAGAGCCTCCCCAGTGCTCCCCACCGGGGGCTCGTGCCCCATTCCTCCCTCATGTCCTTCCATTTACCCCTCCATAGCCCCCCTTCTTGATGTAAAAAAAAAAGACACGTATGTTCGAAAATAGAAACTGGGTTTATTGAACAAAACTGGGGGGGAGGGAGGATGAGCCTCTGGGGAGACTGGGAAAAGGAGGTGGGAGAGGGGCAGAGAGAGGGGTGGGGGAAACCTGGGAGGAGGGAGCTGGAAGGGGGAAGCAAGAGGAAAAAGGGGGAGGGGAAGCGCTCAGGGCTCAGGGTTGGGGGTCTCACCAGATCAACCTGACTTTCATGCAAACCTGCTCCTGGGTTTGCATGTGGCCTTTGGTCACATGGCAGCTCT